CATTTAGCTAACTTGCAACATTCACACATCCCAAATCCGCCAGATCAACAGTCCCAAGCCTCTCATCTTCCGGCAAAACCGACCAATTGGGACTTTGAACAGCTCTCAACCACTTGAAATCATCCACATTGCCCCAATTCCCCGTCTCCTCACTCAACCCGGCAGCTTCCAAATCCTCCTCAATCCCTCTATTTCAAACAATACGGCCCAAATCTGATCCCATTACAATCCTCAATGATCGGCCTACTCCACTCTCAAATAAAAATCACAACTTTTCGCAAAATGAATCCTGATTTGATGCGATGCCAAAACCAAACACAATCCTCAACTTCTTCAATCAAAATCGAACCCGTCACAGGACCGCGTAAATTTTACAACCCTTTAATTTATTAACAAACAGAGCGTTCACACAACCCAATAATCTCACCTCACACGAGTCCAAACCCGCTAACGTAAACTCCCCAATTTCAGAACCCTTAAAGTCTCGGAACAATACTTGGTTTTGTTTATCTCGAAACCCGGGATTCACGAACCGGGAAATTTGACGTTGGTTTTGTTTCATTTGGTTCTGAAATGACATCATTTTGACGGATCTGGGTTTGGGTTTTGGTGGTTTGTTTTTTGAAGGCGAATTTCTTTTGGGGATCAACTGGGCCGACAAGTTCTCAGATTTTGCTTCAAATCCGAGATGGTTTTGAGAGATGATCGACTTCGTAGGGGGGAGGGAGTAGGAATTCTCGGCGACGAGTTTCTCGAGGGCGGAGATGGAAGCGGATATATCTGGAGACGAGAGGGGTCCGTCGTGGTTTGGAGGTGAGAAGTGATGGAGTTTTTGGAGTCGTTGAAGCGGGAGAGGAAGGCGGAGGTGGATGAGTCGAGTGGTCGACTTTGCGGGTTTCAAACGAGTTTGGTGACGATTTGAGAGACGCTCCAGCATCAACTGGTGTTTCTTCTGTAAACTTTGGTCTGGAATTTGATGGGGTTGTGTGTTTTCTTCGTCTTCCATTCCAGCCCGTTTAGTTTGTCTGTGGAATCGATTTGCAATGGATTCAATCCAAATAGTTTATAAAACCAATAACATTAAGCGCAACGATTGAAGGCGACGTGAATCCTTAATTTAATTGAAGAGATTGAGAGGTTAGGTTTTGATTTAAAGTAGAGAGGAGGAAAAGAAGAGGTTGATAATGAATATGAATGAGATATGGATTTGTGCTTACGTGGTTCTTTCCGTCCTCACACAATACACCAACCAAATGAGAGGGCTCGCTGCGTTACCGTCTCTCTTCACTCCCTTCTAACTCGTAGAGCACTAGCCTTCGGTCCAATGTTCTAAAAACCGATTGGACAATATCCGTTCAAGAGTCCGATTTTCGGTTTGACAGATTGGATTGGTCGGATGTGGCCGTAATTTATAAAATAATTTTAGTCCCTAAAAGTTTGAAACTCATCAAAAACACTCCTATAATGCTCCCTTAGTTTTGAATCTATCTAAACACCCCTATTACTGAAGATTCTGGTTAGTGTGGCGGCAGCGAAGATCGACGGCCAATCAAAGCTGGAATCTTGAGGCTTTGTGTTGTAGGTGCCGCGACTCTGATGGTGGTGCTAGGAGTTCCATTGGCTTTGGAACTCGCCGAATCAACAAAGAAAATCCGACTCGTGTAAACTTTAGGTGGACGGCGATCGACGAAGGCTGGATGACGGCGACTGAAAATGGATGGGTTTGGTCGTGGAGATGTCGTCACGTCGAATGGAGTGTTTTCTCTCTGTCAAAGATGCCAGAATCCGACAAGATTTAGCTGCGATTGGCCGCGATTCGGCACTATTCCGGTGGTCCAACAGGGTCCAATCCGGTTTAAATCAAAATAACGGTTTTTTATATATATCGGACCGGATTTGCTACCAATTGCCGGTCGAACTGGGATCCAACCGCGTTTCGGTCCAGTTTTCAGAACATTGCTTAGGTCCTCAAAAATATGATGCGAAGTAATAAAAGTTTAATACTTATCATTTTGGATAAATTGTTTTCCAAAGAATGGACAAGAAAATCCACTATGGAATCAATATTGTTTCTTTTTTGATTTTTCGTACAGATTGTCATAAAAGAATAATTGGCGTCAAAATCGTAATGAAATTTAATATAGGTATATTTAGAATATAATGAATATAACATGATTTTATTGAATATATATATATAGTTGTATCCAAAGTTTTATTGAGTGAGTTCAAAACATTAAATTAATAAATTTGTAGTAAATTTCATGCAGTCAATACGGATTTAAGTGGGTCAAAATTGTAAGTATTATAAAATATATCCTTTTTTTTTTTTTTTCAAAGTTGAATGGGTTCAATTTTGTATTTAATTGGACTCAAAATTGTAAATACTATAAATATAAAGTTTTTTTTTTCTTCTTCAAGTTTAAGTAAGTTCAATTGAACCACTGAGATATTTCGCAATTTGACGATGAAAATTTGCATGTTGGTGATGGCATAGTCATGGAGTGTCGGAATCGCTGCAAGCACGCTAGAGAAGAAGAACTCATCACGTCACCGCAAAGCCCCATCCCGAGACCTTACATGGGAATCATAGGCTGATTTTTTTTCCAAAATTTTATAATTTTTTTAGTTTGGTTTGGGTATGGATTTGGATTCAAATATAAGGTATCTTCATCTTTCCAATGACTATACTATGTCAGTTAATAGATTTCACTAGCAGCTTGTAGCACAAGTGGGAAGTTGTTTTTTTTCAAACCTTTCGGGTAGAAAACTTACTTAGGCTGGGAAATTGTCATTCTCCCTTTAAATTAAACTAATTAATTTGCAAAAGCCCAAAATTTGATCAATAGATTATGATGAAGTGGATGGCAGAAATCATAGAAAGCTAAAGCAAGGTGTATAAATTTTGATATAAATTTTGACATAAATATAAAAAGTTAAACTTAATATTCAATAAAATAATGAGAAAATACTATGACATCGGAAGAGAAATAAAAATAATAAATTTCTAAATATATACCAATAAAGAATCTAATTAAATTTAAATAGAATTTGGATTCCAGATCTAATTGGGCCTTAGTAGGCCTCATTTACTCTTAAACAATAATGAGTTTGAAAATGATTGACAAACTCGGTCACTTCTCATTAGCTTATTTAATTTAATTTTGATTATTTAGCTGTCGAATTGATTTCAGCTAATCAATTAAGCAACCTCGTTTTTTAAATAAATATGTTAATTACTTAATATTTAACAGAGAATTAAGAGTAAACTTCAAATATAATCAATATTACTAGGCAGGCTCACAGGACAAAAAGAAAAGAAGAGAATTATCTCATCCCTACCCGCCGAAAACCCCATGCATCCATATTCAACACAAGCTCCAAACCCACTTCTTCTACTTCTCGCATGCCTCCATCCACCTTCACCTCTCTGTTCATATGATCCAAAATCCTTTGAAATGCAAATAATATAGATCAAAATTAGACCTACATGCGACTAATGTACGTTTGTTACAACATCACGAAACACTAAACTCTTCTCCTTTATCTATAATAAAACAAAAATCAAACATTCTACAAGGGGGTGTTCCTGAACTTATGAAAATTAGCTTATAGCAGCTAATGCTTAAGCTATAAGCATTTAATTTTACGCAGTTATGTGTTGGTTAAAATACTTATAAGTGACTGATAGTAGTTGACGCGTTTGATAAAATATTTGCTTATAAGCTCAGCTTATAACCCAAAAAAGTTATAAACAAATAAGTCACTACTTAGGGGGTTTTTTGTCTAAGTTTATAAAAATTAGCTTATAAGCAGTTAGTGTTTATAAGCTTATTTGAGCTTATAAGCATTTGAAATTTTACAGCTATGTGTTTGTTTAAAGTACTTATAATTGTTGATAGTATGTTGACACGTTTGATAAAATGTAGCTTATAAGTACATTTTATTATTAAATGACTAAAAAAATGATACTATATTATTTTATCAAATAATAATTATACGATGAAATTTTAAAATTAAATAGGGATAAAGTGGTAATAATTTGGTTAACTATTTTATAATAAAGTGCTATAAACGTGGAAAAAAAAAAGTACCTCCTCACCTATTTTTTTTTTTTTTTTTTTTTTTGCTTATAAACTCAAAAAAGTTATAAACAACATGTCAGTTTAATTTTAGAACTTATAATAGTTTTATTAACTTATAATCTCAGACAACACTTTTTTAATTTTATAACTAGTTTGATCGAGTTATAAGTTTAAGATAAAGAAAGGAGTTACCGGTAATATTTCAATATCAGTAAATTTGTGCTCCATTTCCTTCTCTCAAATGCTAACTTGCACCATTCCCACGTCCCAAATCCGCTAGATCAACAGTCCCAAGCTTCTTATCTTCCGACAAAACCGACCAATTGGGACTTTGACATCTCTCGCCACTTGAAATCATTCGCATTGCCCTTATTCCCCCTCTCATTGCTCAACGCGGCAGCTTCCAAATCCTCCTCATCCCTTCATATTTCAAACAATACGGCCCAAATCTGACCCCATTACAATCCTCAATGATCGGCCTACTCCTAACTCTCAAACAAAAATCACAACTTTTCACATAATGAATCCTAATTTGATGCGAAGGCAAACCCACACACAATCCCCAACTTCTTCATTCAAAATCGAACCCGTCACAGGACTCGCGTAAACTTACAACCCTTTAATTTATGGCCGAAACATGCACCCACCCATGTTTGTTGTAAAGACAAGTTGTACCCATAAGGTTTGAAATGACCAACACCATTTTCATCATAATTTGTTAGTGAATTGCATTTGAAGAAAGACAGTGCGATAATTTTCCTCCTCTCTTTTCTACTTTCTCTTTCTTTTCTCAAAATTTTCTTTATTGTCGTGCATCTCCAAATTCACTCCCCTGTGTGCCACCTTCACCACCCTCCACCACCATCTAACCCATCCACCACCTCATCATCAGCCTCTTCTCCATACCTTCTGAGCCTAATGCAAATCCACTCCCCCATCAAACCTTCTACTCCATCACCTCCTGCACAACCACCTATCTCACCACCACCTCCTCGAAATACATCTCCACGCCCATTGACATCTACACCTTCTCCCCCTTCTCCTCAACAATTCATTTCACCTACATCACCACCACCACCACCACCCCCACCACCTGTATCTAATCACCAACCAGTTCATCGATCACCACCAGTAGCATCCAATCCACTAACCAGTTCATCGTCTCCCACCACCGCCAATATCAATCCACCAAGGAGTTCACCTCCACCACCACCAGTATTTACTCCGCCAACGAATTCCCCTCTACCACCGATGGCCAATCCACCAACAAGTCCTCCTTCACCATCAAATTTATCTCCATCACCACCATCTGATCCACCAAAGCTTCACCTCCACCACAACACCACATCTACTCCACCAATAGTTCCTACTTGATGATAAATATGCTTTGCCCAAGTATTTGACAACTTGACATTTCACAAGAAATTCTTTTACTGGTACAAGAAACCTCCCTTTTCTTGAATTTATAAAAATATAAATGAAAACACTATCAAATGCCAAATTTTAATAAGATAGACACTAATACACAACCTAGAAACAAATAATATAAATGTTCTAGTAATTGTTACTCTGTATAGTGTTTGTCTGCTGCTGCTCCCATAATAGCTTCTTGATAGAGTTCCGATGGACGAGTTCAATGACTCCGACAAAGCAAGTATACTACTACATTTTATTTATTTATTGATGAAATGGAGGAAATTCATGTTGAAAAGGATTTAAGTTCTTTGAATACAGAAAGAACCGAAAGATGTGAAAATTGACAATTCAAAGGGGTCTTGAATGAGACATTATTAATTAATGGCGGACTTCATTTAGAGCTATAGAATTATTTTTCCATAAAAAATTATGTAGAAGGTTGTCTTTTTCTCTGGTTCTGTTTTCCTGTCAACTTCTTAATTAAATGCTAAACCCTTAAATAAGGCCATTGAAAATGTTTCTTTTTACCCTACTAATTTGAAATATCATAGTTTAATATGAAGTGTTACATTTACAGTTTTCATAAATCTTAGTTTGTTATATATTTGATGTTCATTACTATAACTTTAATACTACATAGAATGGTTTTTTTATTTTTATATTAACAATAAATAAATAAGTCCCAAAAAAGCTTATGAAAAATATCTATTAGTAGCAAAATTTGCAAAAATAACTTATTTTATCTCTCTCCTTGTGACTAGATGGCAAACTCTTTAACCACTGAGGTTCTCTATATCGAGGGAGTTTTGTGTTTTAGTAGCAAAATAAGTACCTACTACATTTGTATAATTACATTGGTTTATTAAATTTATTGGGTATTCCGTGACCTTGAGGATTAAGTAGACTCTAATGCAGATCTATGAGACCGTCTAGGGAACCTGATCAACTGATCTTACTCTCGCACGGTACCTCATATACCTAAAAAATAATATATTTAACTACCCAAAAATTATTTTTAAATTGTATTTAATATAAAAAATAAATAAAATCTTTCAACCGACAAATTTACAAGTGGACATTCATGAGATAAAATATCCCAAGTACATTACAGATGGTCGAAATCAAAAAAATAGATTGTAGAGGCTAGTATAGGAGACATTTAATGGAGGCATTAGGCATAAAGCCCCAAAAACAAGAAGTGAATGATTGAGTGAGACCAAGCAAAAATGGAAGTGATAAGAAGAGGAAGAAAAATAAAAGAAAAACTCTTCAAGATTAAAATTGATGTAATTTGACATATAGTCATAGTCTCACAGGGAGCTAAATCTAGGCATGCTACTTAGGTTTATCAAGTGGGATGAGATGGTTCCAATTTCCACATATTTGTGATATCATCATCCCCCCAAACAATTCAATTCGTTATCCTAAAGACTTGTTTTCGATTCGTTTTATAGTATTCAGGTAACATTACTTGTTCGTAATAATTATGGATAAAGGTTTGTTTTTGTGTTAATTCATAAATTCAGATAAAACTAGTTATTTATACTCATATAGGATAAATCTTAATGGTTGGTCTGATAGTTAATAAAGTTTACTCCATTCTTTGAGTTTTTGGGTTTAAATATTGGGATCACTTACTGCAATAATATTATGATTTATCTGATTTTTTGAGTTTGTAGATGAGATGAATTGTGCTTAGAGGTAGCAATTGACACATATGACAGCCTAAGATAAAAATAATAGATGTTAGGATGAATCTAAAAAAAAAAAAAAAAAAAAAAAAAAAAAAAAAAAAAAAAAAAAAAAAAAACCCAAATCTGGTTTGAGTACTAGTCTAAATATTGAGACATATGAGAGTCTATGATCAAAATAATAGATCTAAGGAATGAATCTAAGATTAAAAATAAAATAAAAATAAATAAAATATAAAAAACCCAAATCAGGTTTGAGTACAAGTCTAAATATTGATTCAATCAACCTGATCCGATCTTGTCCAAATATGTTTTTTTTTTTTTAAATATTAAAATGAATTATGCTTAAGGATAGCAACAGGGAGACGAGAGAGTCTAAGATCAGATAATAAATTCGAATTCGACTAGTATAATATCTAGACTCAAATTCGAACTTGAACTAACTTCAAATTGAAGGCAAAACAAAGATGTATTATGGATATGTGATGGATTTGAGGCATAAACAATATGCCCGACCCGACCCGACCCGACTTTTCCTCTTTCATGTATTGTTTTGGAATGGTGACAGGATGGAAGCCGCAAGTTGCTAAGTTAAAAAGAAAAGAAAAGCAGTGGGTTTTACAGAAGAAATTTGCATCATGTAATGGACTGGTGGGTAGATGTTTCCTGGGGTCAGACAAAAAGCCTCTTTCACTATTGTGTCTTCAATAATGTTAATACGCCCCCCCGCCCTTCTCAGTTTAATTAAATTAAAGCACCACCTCCTCACCAAACTCTTCATTTATTGTGTTCTCTCTAATCCAACCTTGGAAATCACTAAATCAATCTTTAAACCATCTTCCTCTCAATTTCTAAGGTTTTGCCAAAGATAATTCAATTGCTTTAACCGGGTTAGATTAATATTAAAAATCATCGATGATAATATTGATTAAGTATTACCACAATGATGCAATTTTTAAGGACCAATATTAAAAGTAGAGAGAATAAATAAGATAAATTTTTAAATTAGAGGTTAGATTATTTATTATATAAAAAATAAATAAAGTAAAAAAGGGTTTAGAATACTTGTTTGTTTGCTAGATAAAGTAACAATAATAATAATAACACAATACAATTCTAATAAAAAAAAATTATCATAGAGAGAAAATTTCAACGAGACAGACTCATATGCGTCAATCTAACCATTTATCGTGTGCAATTATAAATGTTCACCATTGTGCATACGAATACACTCATATTTCAAATTTAATAATAAAAAAATGATACTATACTAATCATGTAACGGTACATATTATATTCACAGACAAAGTTATGCATGTTCGATATTAAAAACAATGTGAGTATCACGATAATTCAAAGAAAACATTTTTTAAAAAAAAATAAAATAATAAAAGAAAAGATTTTGGAGGGAGGATATTGTTAGTCAAGGAATTATTGTGAGTTTAAAGTGAGGGATTAATGACACTCAAGAGGACAATGCCGCGGCTTTAAAACGGCGTTAATGGAAGATTAATGATCTTTAACTAATCCAAAATCAAAACTTTGCAGTAAAATCAAATCCATTATCTTCGTGGGTCTCTCTCTCTTTATATATAATCACTGCAAGTTTATCTCTCCACCATTTCATCCAATTCCCTTCATCAAACGGTCCACATTTCATCTAACCACAGACTTGCACGACCTTTAACCCATTTTCTAACTTAAAAACCCCTCCTTGTTCTTCCCTCCCCTTTAGTGGTCCTCGCTCAGACCCCCCCTGAAGTGTTGTACAGTCTGTGCTAGCTAGTCTAATCTTTCCCTTTTGGGGCTTCCTTTTGCTGTGGTTTTTGAAACCATGGAAAACGTTCTTGTTTTTGTCTTCTCAGTTCTCATTGAAACCTTCAAAGTTTGCATTTTTCTCCTCTTCAATGGAGGTTTTGAGTCTTTTTTAATGACTAGACACCATTGAAGTTCAAGTCTTTCTTGTGCTCGTGTTGTTGTTTTTTTTTTTTTTTTTCAAAAGCTTTTGGGAACTTTCAGCTCGCCATGGGGGATGTTTACCGGAATTTGGAAGTGAAAACGAGTAGATTAGAGAGAGTGATTTGGAGTGCAAAGTGGATAATTTGTCAGTTGGGTTGTTTCTACGTCATTTTGTTCAAAGTGGCAATAATTCCATACACATTCAACTTCATTTCTCTATGTTTTCGTTTCTTCAAAGCTAGGACTTTCTTCAGAAGTTTACTTTCTCCTCTTATATTACATCCTTCTCAACTTCATCATCATCTCATTGCCGCCTCTTCAACTTTCGCTCGGCAAAACAACCCCACCCTGTGAAAAAAGTCACCAAGAAAGTGGCCTCAAGACCACCAAAAAGACCCCCCGGAAAAGACCCAAAACTTTCAAAAAAGTGTCAACAACATCCAGCAGCCTCATGACGAGATCTCTGGTCTCAAATGGTTCAAAATCATGTTGATGATGAAGGTAAGAGAAAAAACCACTTTGTCCACTCTCAAACTCACCGACCCATCTCAAGAAACCGCCTCAAACGCCGCATTACCGGAAGATTTCACTGAAAATTGAGGAGTTACTCAGGAAACTCTTGAAGACACCTGGAGTTGATCACTGAAGGCCAGGGAAAGCCACAGAAACGGCACCTGAAGAAGAGTGACACGTGGGACACGCCACCACGGGCTGCCGTCAACGCCGCAAAGGAGGAAAAAGCGGCGGAGAACATGGTGAACACCATCGATAGCGATGGTGTGATAGTGACGAAGACAACCTGAGGATCACGTCGGGGCCAAACGTGAGCTGAGAAAGTCAGAGACTTTAGTGACAAGGCGTCTCTGAGGAGGGAGAAATCGATGAGTCAGGACGAGTTGAATCGAAGGGCGATGCTTTCATCAAGAAGTTCAACAATGACATGAGGTTGCAGAGGATGGAGTCTCACCAGCGCGAGATGGCAATGATTACAGGAGGAGCTTAAGTTGGTTTTAATCAGTAATTTTAGCTTATTAAGAGCCTAATGATAAGGGGTTAAATGTTGAATTTATTTGTTGTAGGTTGTGAATACAAATCCACCCTTTTACTGTTACTGTTAATGTACCAGTAAAGGTTAATTAGAATTGCCATGGCCTTATTCAGTTAATTATATTGTATAAAAAACCACCATGAGGGTTCAGTTGACAGTGCAGTCGGCCTGTGGTAATGGCCTATTTCGTCGCAATAAGTATTATGATTTGGCTTAAATGTTAATGCAATCAAGTAAAGATTAAAAGGATTGTGGACTAA